GAGGAAAGCCCTGCCCACCCCCGCCGCCGCGTCCTCCTCCTACAGCCGGGCGGCAGAGCTCCTCCCAGCCCCGCTCCTCCCAGCTGCTGGCGGCGCCCCTGCCTCTCCTCCTGCGCCCTATCGGCCGGCTCGCGCTCTAGGCGAAGGCCTAGTTCGCCTAGCGGGCGAGCCGGCCATGATCACGCCACCTTGCAACAATGCCAGAACAGAACACTGTGGTGGGATCAGCATGGACACCACTGGGGTAGCACCCGGTAACACTGTTGGGGCACCTTTTTCCCCATTCGGCCAACATAAACCGATTCCCTCAGGGAGGCAACTGGCAATGTCGCAGCTGCACCACAACTGGCCACCACACTGCACACAGGATTGCTCTGCCCACTGCTTAGCCATGGAGCAAAGTCAAATTTTTGCCTGTTTGTAGCTTCTCTTTCCCAGCAAAGCGATGACAAGCAAACCAATACTTACTGTTTAGGAAATCCGCTGCCACAGGGTTTGTTACAAGCATGTGTGGGGAAAGCAGCTTGTACACATCACTCTGTTCACACTCAGGCAGGAAGTTTAATATATTTTGGTCCACCAAATCTGACTGATGCAAAAGAACGCTTTGTCATGTTCAAGAGTAGACAATTAAAACTATCACAATATGCAGAATGGATGGTACACAACATGTACGTATACATCACTTGGCCTCTCATTGCTAAACTGCTCAGTGCTTAAAGATCCCCAGCTAAATGTGCAAAATTACCTCTGCTCTAAAACACTGGGACTGAACTGGAGACCATTCAGAGTCTTCAAGGTGAGGTGATGGACCATTTACACGTATAAGACATGGCTTGACAGTGCCTTGAAATGACTGAACATGAATGCGTCTAAGCTGGCTACAAGATAGGCAAGGAGTCTTTTAAAACGAGAAAGCATTTATAAGACACAAGGTTATTATTTATCATTTTTGGTGCAATTCCAGTGACTTCATTAATGCTTATGCATGAACTCTCCCTAGAGAAGCTAAAATGACTAAACTGAGGCCAGTGTACTTTGGTCACATTATGAGAAGACAAAAGTCATTGGAAAAGACAATAATGCTAGGAAAAGTTGAAGGCAGCAGAAAACGAGAAGACCAAACATGAGATGGACCGACTCAATCAAGGGGATACAGCCCTCAGTTTGCCAGACCTGAGCAAGGCTATTGATGATAGGACATTTTGGAGATCATTAATTCATAGGGTTGCTGTAAGTCGGAAGTGACTTGACAGCACTTAACACATAGATACAAGCAACATGGTGAAAGATCACATCATGGAGTACAAGCCACTTTGCTTTCCTTCTTTCCCTCTTCCTCACAAAGCTCCGTGACGTAGATTACTATTGTATATTGATCTTAAGTGTTTTAAATGTTTTATACATATTTGTATTTTAACTGCTGTTTTCAAGTTTGACATGTTTTAATGTTTGTCACCTTAATGACAAACACTGGGTCAAAAGGTGGCATAGAAACACTTTAATTAAATAAACAAACACCTTACAGGTGAACAATTTAAGGTCATGATTCCTCTGAAGTATTCAAATAATCTTCCAGAGAATAACTGTGCAACTCAGACCCTATGCTCCCTAAAGTGCAGTTAATAAAGCCTGTGTACAGACTGCACACAGAGGGCTCATGTGATTGAATGCTTCTCCACAACAAAATACTCCCTGCACATACAAAATGCTGATGTCAGGAAGAAGGATGCGCTACAATCCTTCACTCAGGCATCTAGCTTTCTGTCTTCAGGTACTGAAGTGTTGTGTGTGTGTGTGTGTGTGTGTGTGTGCGTGTGTGCGTGTGTGTGTGTGAGAGAGAGAGAGAGAGAGAGAGAGAGAGAGGAGAGAGAGAGAGAGAGAGAGAGAGAGAGAGAGTGTGTGTGTGTGTGAGAGAGAGAGAGAGAGAGAGAGAGAGAGAGAGAGAGAGAGAGATGGCATTCAACCACATTAGCCCCAATTTACAGTCTGAAATGGTAGAGTCCAGAAACCAAGTTACCCCCACCTGAGCAGCCATTTGTTAAAGCTAAATGTGAGAAGCAATAACCTGTCTAAGAATACCCAGCAAGGTCATGGAAGAGAAACAATGTGAACTCATGTTTCCCAGATCAACACAACTAGACCTGGGTCCCCAACGCTGTTGAGCTAATGCACACTTCTTAAATTCTGGGAGCAGGCAACAGGTGCCACCACAAAATGCTTGCCACAGGGTAGGGGCCAATCACAAAAGTTGGACTATTCCACTCCAAGCATCCTCCTATGATGAAATAAGTAATTGGGCTCTTCTGAAGCATCTCTTGCATCAGTCATTGAAAGGCCACGACTGGCTCTTTGCTCTGGGGAAGAGATGCTCTGAGGAAAAAGGAAATGGGTGCCAGGAAACACATTGGTGGGTTCCATGGCACTCTTTAGCACCTTGCTGGGCATCACTGAATTAAGAGTGCTTTGTCACAGCAGAACTGAGCAAAGAAACTGTGGAAGTGGAGAAGGAAAGAAATCATACGCAGGATGGAATGCACTGGTTGCTTTTTTAACGTTACATATATACTGCAATTCTGGAATCAGAGAGGGAAAGCTGTTCTGAGGAATGGGAATGGTATAAGGAGGCCAAAGTAGAATGTGGCTTCATTGTCATTGCTGGAAAGATTGTGGGCTGTTTGCTGCTTTCTTGCCACAAAATTAAAATGTGGCAAGTTTAAAAGGCAGCCTTAGAAACTAGATATTTGTGAACATCCACAAAAGCCTGTTGAACCATCTGCATTTCTCTGGGGGAAAAGAGCCTGTATGAGAGCACAATTTAATTAGAGAAACATCTTCCATACACACGGGTGAGAGAAACAACACACATACGCCCACATGGAGCAGAGCATCCAGCAGAGCTCTAACTACTGAGATTTAATGTACTAGCTAAATATGTGATCCCAGCCAAAATCCTGTGATTATTTAAGAAGCCCCAGATGGAGTTGCCATGAATCAGTTGCGACTTTATGGCATGTTTTTATTCTTCTTCTCACAGCACTGGCTTCTTTAGGCTTCTTTAGGCTAGGATGGAACAAAGGGGATGCCTGGACTGAATTTAGATTGCTGTCCTCCTCAAACCTGCTAAGTGCAGTAGCATGTAACTCACTGCAGACGTGCATGGGGGGGGAGGGATCTCCTTAAAGCAGCCACCTGCAGCCACAGCAGTTCTATATAAATGAACAGATTTCAGTCTATCACTGTCTCAAGATGCAGATGACAGCTTTTCCAGAAACTTGAAGGCACAGCCACTGTTGCTTTTGGTAAACACATTTTTCCTGCAACGTTCTTTGGCTAAATCGGTCTCACAGGTGCTTCCCTGAGCCTGCTCCGGCAGGGAGGGAGGAGTACAAATCAATCAAACAAACAAACACACAAACATGGGGGGACAGTGCCTGCTCACGAGCAGCAATAGCTCTGTGAAACCCTATTTGAAGAACTTCTGTTAAGTTCTCCTCATCCAATATCAAAAGTCAGACAGAGTAACAAGAGAAAAGGCCTCTCTGGTGGTGGGGCCCAAATTATGGGATGCCGTCTCCTCAACCCTCCATCTGGAACTGAGTTTATTTCCAGCAACTGGGGAAAATTTATTTATTTATTTACCCAGGCATTTTGAGTTTGTCTTTGCTCATTTGAAGATACTATTAGCAGTTGGTTTGGGACAAAAATTATATACATGTTTTAGTAACTATATACAAAATCTTGTGCTTTATAAGCTGCCTTGAGAGCCAGGATTGGCAGAGACATGGGATATAAATAAATCTGGGATTGGACCAAAAGCATGGTGAGCAGAAGAAAATAGCTGCTAGCACAGTTCTGCCAACACTTGTGTAAAGGTTCACGTAGTACTGTAAAACAAAGGTCATCTAGCAGTTCTCATGCTTCTGCAAGCAGATGGGAAACTTTAGGTATATATTCACTTTTCTCATACTCTCCTGCAAGGTTTAAAACAGCCCTTTCTTGAGTACAAGGAACCTTCTGCATACAGAAACAGACCTTTGTATCTGAACACAGGTTTTGATTTGGATACTCTTAAGAATAAGGAGATTTTTTAACATAATATTGGCTAGAACTTACCGGTAAATGCCCAAGAAGTGAAGAGACACTATCAGATACATAAATAATAATCCCATCAGTGGTTAGTGCAATCAGAAACCCATCTAATGCCTACAAGGGAGAAAAAGGAATATTTAGAGGGGAGAAAGTTACTTTCATCCAGATCCCAAACCCACTTATATCAGAAGTAAACCCGTTGATGTTAGTGATACCAAAGCAAATCTTTCACATTTTCAGGACTGCAACTACGTGGCACCATCATATACATATTTACTTAGAAGTAAGTCCCACTGAGTTCACTGGGGCTTTTTTCTAAGAGAATGTGTGCACAGGGCTGCAGTTTTAGGATTATTACAAGCATATTTGGTTGGCTTTTTTTCAATTTATAGGAAAGTGCATGAGAATTTTTAAAAAATTGGATAATGAGATATTCAGATATCTTTGAATAAATTATATATACCTTTACAATTTAAGTAGTATTATATTTACACGGGCTAACTGAATAATAGTCTAGTGGGAAGACACAAACTAGAAATCCAGATTGCTTTAAGATAATTGATAGTGTGAACCTATGGAGATTTTCTCCAGATAATGCTCACTGATTTCCATGGGCTTAGATCGGAGTAATTCTGTATAGAACTGCAATGTAAGTTTCCAACAATAGGGATTTTTCTGTGCCAGATTGTTATGGACCCTGGCCAAGGGTTCCATAGGTTCTCATAAGTTTCCAAAGAACTGACACAAGAGCAGGGGTCTTTTGGAGCCGGAGCGCACCGGAGTGCCGCTCCAGGAGCCCAGGAGCTGGCACAAATGGCGGTGGCAGCAAGCCCCGCCCCAGCTCCCCGTGCTGTGGCCCATTGCCGGCTTACCGGGGCCCGCACTGGAGCGCTGCGGCCCCAGAGGCCTGAGGAGGCCTGTTGCTGCCTCCCCGGGTCAGCACCGGAGCGCTGCGGCCCAAGGGAGGCCAGAAGACGCCTCCCCCACCTCCCCAGGCCAGCACTGGAGACCTGCAGCCCGGGGGAAGCCAGAAGAGGCCCCCTGTCTTTCCCTCCTTCTTTTCTTCTCTTTCTTTCATTCTTTCCTTCCTTCGTTCCTTCTCTCTACACTCTCTCTCTCTCTCTCTCTCTCCTTCCCTCTTTCCTCCTTCTGCAGCCCAACTCTAGTGAGAAGAGGTTTAAACTTTAAACCCCTTCTCTCTTTGCTTCCTCCCCCCACCCAGTTGGCTGGGTAAGGGAAGGGGAGGCTTTTGAAGATGCCTTCCCCCCTTTTGCTTCCCCTTCTGACATCACTTCCAGTGATGTCAGGGGGCGTTGCATATGCTAATGGGCTATTATGCTAATAGCCTAGTAGCTCTTTTTCTACGAAATGAACCCTGCACAAGAGATCCGGGTTTACTTACGAGGAGAGCTTTAGTAACGCATCAGAGTTATTAAACGAGATTCAGGGCTAAGCTTCAGTCAACTGACCTCAAGACGCACACACCTGCATGGTGAGGCTTAGCCAGACCTCAAGACAAACTCGAACTAGGCGTTTTATACCCTAAATGCTGTCTCCGAGCCCAAAGAATGATTAGTTAAGCTAGCCCAGACACTTGGAGGAGCCAGGCCATCTTGCACCTGGCTTCCAGTGGGGTGAAGCAGCAACCCAGACCTTGAAGGTAAGCACAAGCATGAGAGTGGGGAAATTCCCTTGAGAGCAGCTAATACTGTCCTCTCTCAGGACCCAGAGCAGCTAAGCACCAGCATGTAACAAAAATGTCATCCAGAACCAAAACAAAAAAGAAGACTGTTGAGTTTAGACTGGAAACTAATGGTAATATAGCAGCTTATTCCAGAACTACTTGAGAGTTCTTTGGTGCCAAACAATGGTTCATGTGCTAATGCTTGCAATGGCTTTGCTCCTTTTCACCTTCATTAGTATCTCTCCATTCCTTCTTGCCCCCAGACTCTCCTTGACTGCGGTCAGATGGGCAATTTGGCCCGATATAGTTGTGTTACCCTGGGCTCGTTCATACATCCATATCTGGCAGGTATTCCCCAGTCATACTCACCCCATCATATGACAAGTTGGATACAGAGTAAATAGCCACCAGAGACAATCAGGTGCTTACAGATCTCCCCACATTGATCCCGCATTTCCAGATGTCTGAATACCCCCGGTGCATGCTCAAACCAGTTCAGAAGTGTGAACCTTTAGTTATGGTTTTGCCATATTTTGTTTTAAAGCATGTGCGCATATGCACTAATCTGAATAGTCAACCACAGAAGAAGCGTGCGGTGAGGCCGGATCAGGGTGGGAGTCTGAAAATTTCCATCACAAAATGCAATGGAGTAATAAGTGGCATGCCCAAACTGTGCCAACCTGCCAGTCTGACAGCAGCCTTTGTCTGTAACACTGATATTAATAATAACAAAAAGTCTGCCCAGTCATCTGACAAAGTTGCATTACCCTAAGTGAATGCTTTCCCCCCATTTCCCCTAGACCACATATCTGATCTTTATTGATAGCTGTCACTGAAGCTCCACTGCACAGAAATGCCTTTTCAAGATGCTTTGGAAAGGGGTGGCTGTAGCCCAGTAGTGGGCCACACACTTTGCAAGCTGAAAGTTTCAGCTTCAGTCCTTCAAATGTCCAGTTAGAGGAGCTGGAAAAGTCAGAAGCTTGGGAAGGCCACTGCCAGACAAATGAGACTACAGTGGTCTAGACAGAGCAATGATCTGATTCAGTTCCTTCATATGTTTACTGCATTGTTTTTTGGCACTGTAATACATGCAGGAAGCAAAAAAGAGCAGTGTGGGGGTGGCATCTAGCATTCCTTCCTAGCCCCCATTTTTTTCCTATTCACTCATATATTTTGCCTTTCATCTGGAAAGGAGATTATTAAAAGAACAGTAAAACAAAGGACCAGAATGATCTCCACGCAGCAGAGGAGTTCCATGATTATTTATTGAGCATTAACGTATCCCCTGGAAGTGAGGTCTGTAAAAAGTTGCCTCTTCTCAAGCAGGAGTCTGTTTTGATTAACTGCAATAGATTGACTTGTTCAGCAAGAGGCAGTTGCAGATGCGGGAATAAACAGATTTTGCCAAAGAAGGTGAGTCACCTCATCTCCCTGAGAAGGAAATAATGGAGATACTGCAACTGTGCACCAGTGTACACCCTTAGACAACGGTAGTGAAAACAGAAACAGGAGATTGTACGCAAATGATGGAAAATCTTGCTTTCAACATGTAGTGCAATTTCTTTTATGGCTAAAACCAAAACAAAGCAGCTAAACTGGGAACACTGCACTCTGGTATTAAAAATGTGTATGATTTCGCCCCCTGCTAACTGTGCTTACAAAGTAAGATCTATCCTATCACTTTGCAATGGATTGGATTTTAAAAGTGAATATCCAAACACTTTTAATCTGGAATTTTAAGTGTACAGGCTCCCATTACTCACACAATACATGCCCAAATGCTGGGAATTCATGATCATAACAGCAGAAAAGGTGCAGTGTGAGCATTTATATCTACACATCTAATAGCCAAGGGTCCCCCTCTGCATGCAGATATCTAAATCCGCACATCAGGAGCACATGGAGGGTATACGGATTTTCCTACACACTTGAGGCACTCCCTAGGTGTGCAGAAAAATCTAAAATGTTGAAAAAGCTATATGGGGGATACTTAAATCCCCCCAAAAGTAAAAGAGTGTTCCCTGTGCATACGCAAAGAATGCGCCCGCTGGGAGCCACGCAGGGCTCACCACTGTTGCCGTTGTGGGGGGGGGGGTAGAAGCCTTGACGG